CAGTGCTCATGTGAATGCGTCCAGGGCTTATATATGTCTAGGTAATAGGATCTGGCTTATAGGTCTTAGATATTAGGAGGTATGAAACCAATGTCTCGGCCAAAAATTCCACCTCAAGAATCTCTCTTAGGCCAGGCATGGTGGCTCAAGGCCTGTAATCCTAGCACTATGGGAGGCCGAGGCAGGTGGATTGCCTTAGCTCAGGAGTTCAAGACCAGCCTGAGCAAAAGTGAGACCCCTGTCTCTACTAAAAATAGAAAAACTGAGGCAAGAGGATCACTTGAGCACAAGAGTTGGAGGTTGCTGTGAGCTATGACGCCAAAGCACTCTACCCAGGGCGGCAGCTTAAGATTCTGACTCAAAAAAAAAAGAAAAAATTTGGCCACTTAGCCAGGCGCAGTGGCTCACGCCTGTAATCCCAGCCCTCTAAGAGACTGAGGCAGGTGAATTGCTTGAGCTCAGGAGTTTGAGACCAACCTGAGCAAGTGAGACCCCCGTCTCTACTAAAAATAGAAAAACAACTAGCTGGGTGTGGTAGTAATTCCAGCTACTCAGGAGACTAAGGCAAGAGGATTGCTTGAGCCCAAGAGTTTAAAGTTACTGTGAAGTATGACGCCATGGCACCCTACCCAGGGTGATGAGTGAGACTCAGTCTCAATCAGTCAATCAATCAATAAAATAAAAATTGGTTACTTGATGAGAGTGTTAGTATGTTTATATTTTATTAAAGGCAGTATTTTTATTTTGATGTTTGTGAAATTGGGGGCACACCTAATAATTCGATGCCTGGTTTATGAGATTAAGGACTTAAATTACAAAAAGTGAGACAGTATTAGACTAGTTACATGTATGTGTCCATGTAAACTCCCTCTCCTTTGAAAATTCAGGGACTTTTATTCTGGTAAAGATACATAGAAATGCTCCTCTGAAAATAATCCATTCCTCCCAAGAGAAGTTGAGAAATTATTTTCTTTGGAATGACTAAATTTTTAAAATGACAGCTAACTGAACAATACCTCTTTGAATCTAGTCTAATGGGATTTTTCTTGGAACTTCCAATGACATTTTATACCAACTTTCAGCAAATAGCAAGCACCTTACATGACTGAATGTTTTATAATAGTTTTGACTAGAAAATGTAAAATGCTGCCAACCGAGGCACTTTTTGAAGAGTTCATGTGGTTTTTAAGAGTATAGACCTACTTTTTCCACTTGCTTTTAGTGCATGTATCATTCCTAACATTGTTATTTCATTTTCCCATGCAGGTGAAAGACCGTTCATGTGTGAAACATGTGGCAAAAGTTTTGCTTCCAAGGAGTACTTGAAACACCACAACAGGATCCACACTGGCTCCAAACCCTTTAAGTGTGAAGTGTGTTTCCGGACTTTCGCCCAGCGGAATTCACTTTACCAGCATATTAAAGTCCACACAGGTATGGTTGGAATGCCCCAGGAAGAGAGTTCAGTTTTGCAAGAAAAATGCCTCAGAGGTTTTACACTTACTAGAAAAGTATTTGAAAGGAAGCTTTAGGAGAAAACTTTGGCCAACTTTTTATAACATAATAGCATTTTTTAACTTTTGAACTTATTTCTGGCTCTGAGAAATTGAAAAGCATTTATGTGGGGGTGGCGCCTGTGGCTCAATGAGTAGGGCTCCAGCCCCATATGCTGGAGGTGGTGGGTTCAAACCCAGCCAGAGCCAAAAACTGCAAAAAAAAAAAAAAAGAAAAGCATTTATGTGTACAACCAGGAGACAACTAAGTCCTATTGGTGCTTGGGGTTTTTATTGGAAAGGACAGCTTACCCAGGGGATGAATGTTGGAATATGAAGTAGATATGTGAATATTTGAACATTTTCACAGTGTAAACAGTGATAATGATCTATACATGTTAGTGTACACACATAGGCACATATTTAGTTAGGACTTGCGGTTTTGTCTTTCATCCTTGAAGGAGTCTGTAGGTGTAGTACACACTGCAGGCACGAGCCAGGGCCTGTTTTGAGTCTAAGCTGCGATCCTTCAAATAGCAACAAAAATAATTTTATGGTTGGAGGTCACCACAACATGAGGAACTGTATTAAAGGGTCGCAGCATTAGGAAGGTTGAGAACTGCTGGTCTAAGCCATAAACTATTGTATCATAAGGACATTAGATTTGTGCCTCTGTCAGTTGGCCTGTAAGTCACTCCCAACACACCTTATGTTGAAATGCTGAGGCTTCCAGAGGTTTGCAAAATCATCATCCCAAGTATATTCAGGATTAAACACAGGAGGTCAAAAGAGACCCACCAGCAGTCTCTTCTCCCCGTCACAGGGGAGCGTCCCTACTGCTGTGACCAGTGCGGCAAGCAGTTCACCCAGCTCAATGCCCTGCAGCGCCACCGCCGCATCCACACTGGCGAGAGGCCATTCATGTGCAACGCATGTGGGCGCACGTTCACCGACAAGTCCACCCTCCGGCGGCACACCTCGGTAAGCAATGGGGTGGCTTGTTCCAGAAAGAAAACCATTGGTCCTTAGATCCACAGAACTCCCAATAGATACACCTGCTGCCATTCCATGAGGTAAGGAGACAACAGGTGTTTCCTGTTGAATGAATCCATACCAGGTGAATGCAGTGGAAAAGCAGGCCCCAAGGAAAGCACAACCCATGACAGGTAATTTCCAACAGTGAGGGTGGGAAAGGCTGATATTTGACAGTTAATGGAAAGGGTTTCACTGCAGTGGAAGCCAAAATCAAGTTGAAGAGGGACTATTGTTTTAAAAGATGCACTTGATCAGAGACACATTGGGTGACTTTTCTTTTGTGTTCCATTTATAGATACACGATAAGAATACTCCATGGAAGTCTTTCCTTGTTATTGTAGATGGCTCTCCCAAGAATGATGAAGGGCACAAGACTGAACAGCCCGATGAAGAATACATGGCACCCAAACTCTCGGATAAATTGCTGTCTTTTGTAGAAAACAGCCATTTCCACAATCTGGCCACAGTCCAAGGCACTGTATCCACCATACACGAGAACAGTTCTGCAGACACAGCCTGCAAGTCAGACAATTCTGCAGTGTCCCAGGACACTCTGCTCACTACCACCATCAGCGAACTCAGTGAGCTGGCTCCACAGACAGACTCAGTGTCCACACAGCTGCACCCTCTGACCAACATGGAATAGAGCTGACGTTACTCACCAAGCAGTTCCAATCTTGTTGGTCTTTGTGTGTAGATAGCTGTACTTGTACTCAAGGTGATGTTGGGGCTAAGAAAAATAATTGTGTGCAAAGTTGGGGCAAGAATGGCTTCTGCAGATTTTCCTGAACTTCTGCGAACTTGCACGGCTTTCTCATAGCATTTTCAAAGCTTTCCCTGCACAGTTCTGATCTGCATGATCTCAGCTACATGTTACTGGCGAGGCAGCACACATGACCTCACTTAATTCTGCCGTGAGGTGTGTGTGTCAGTCATGCAATGCTTTTCTATCTTGATGTTAAGACAACTGCTTATCTTCACTGCAGAGGACAGAGCATTGATGAGCTCACGACACTGCTGTGGTGGCCTTCCTGGTCTCTGATCTGCCTTACTTTCCCACGTGGGTTTCCTTATCTGGTATTTTTCTACCAAGCTGAAAGAAAATTAGGGCCATGTATTTTCAGTTTTTCTCCCCTGTTTAATTGAAACAGACTGGATTTGCTGCAGGGACTCTCAAATGGGACTGAAGAGATGGATTTTTGCAGCCATCCCACCCCACCCTATGTGTAAGCACTAAAAAGGCTATGACAAATTGAACACTTGTAGAAGTGCTTAATATAATCTCTACTCACAGCACATATACAGCTAGGACATTTGTCATAAAAATCAACTTACTCAGTTTCATTCTTAAAGAAAAGTCAGATTAGGTAAAAGCTGTCCTACCAAAGAGCTTAGCAAAGCAGTATAGTAGTCTTTGCAAAGAAGTGTGAAAAATTAAGTGAGAGGCTGGAGCGCACTTTTAATAAAATTCACAAAATGTGGTGAGTCTTAGAACACAGAGTATTTATGCCAGGTTTTCTGACTTGATTTCTATAATTTCCAGAACCTTGGACTTCCTCACTTCCACACCAGAGATTGAAATCAATAATTGCCACATGTTTATTTCCTTGGGAGCATGTGAGAATATATATAGCAGAAGGGACCAAAAGCCTCAGCACAGTTACCTCTGATTATGCCTTAAAGAGTTGACTGTGTCTTTGACCAGTAGCTTTGTCTCAAATGCTCCATTGGCTGTTTCATGCAGGACTTAATTATTGCTAAAAAAATTCACAACTGGACAAGTATGGTGGTTTATGCCTATAATCCCAAGGCTTTGGGAGGTGAAGATGGGGAGGCAGCCAGGAATTTGGGACTAGCCAGCACAACATAGTTAAGATCCCATCTCATTAGCCTGGCGTGGCAGCATACACTTACACTGCCAGCTACTTGGGAGACTGAGTTGGGAGGATTGCTGGAGTCCGGGGCTCAGGCTGCAGTGAGGTATGACCAAGCCACTGTGCTCAGAATGTCTTTTAAAAAAGAAAATTCGCAATGAAAAGACTATTCTGCTGCCTTTGTTAAATGTGACATTGGTTTCAGGGCTTTGGGTATGTGCCTCATGCTTATGAAATGCTTTGATTCACATGTAATCCTTAAACATCATAATTTAAAGAGAAAACCTTGAAGGAGAATTCTTTTGTTCAGTAGTTGCTTTTGTTCCCTTCATTTTTGATAAATTTGCTGCAAAAAGACTGGTTTTCTAAGAGGAAGGTACTTTTCTAAGAGGAAGGTCCACAATGCTCAGGGTGATCCCTGAGGGAGGACTCTTCCTGAGTGCAGCAAGGAGATCACTGCAAGGTGTTTCAGGTACTCACCACACATCTCACACCTGCTCTTAAAGGTCATAGTACCAAGTTACTTTAAATTCATTTAAGTGTAATTGTATCCTAGTTGTGTTTATAGAACAAATAAATAACAACTGTCACAGGGCCATTTTAATCTTAGTAAGAGGAGACTGAACCTGCCCAGCTAATTTACTGTTTATGGAATGAAGTCACTTGATGAGAAGGAATTTAAACAATAGATTATTTTGTTACCTACTGGAAGAATTCTTGTCCTGAATTTGTTTTAGAAGTTCTAAAAAAACTGTCGGCATTAATAAATGTCTCCTTCATAAAAGTAATTGTGCAATTCTATTTCCATAATTATAATTTAGGGTCTGCAGAAATAGGCTTCTCAATTAAAACTGGTAAAATACGCCTAATTGCATGAATAATGAAACTTAAAACCAGGTCCTGTAAGTCTTTATTTCCTGCATTCCTAGGGTTAGTCCCCAGCAGTGGCCGCTTGGGGAGGGGACCACGCCCTCTGCTTGAGCATAAGCCGGGGGCCATCAGGCAGTGTGCAGCACTGCTACTTTCTTCAGAGGAAGGCTAAGTTGCCCACCAAAGAGACAACTATACACAGGTCCCTGTCCCCTTCCTGGGAGGATAAGGCTGTCTTGAGAACAGAAGCCTGTAACCCATGTAGGAGCTGGTTACAGAGAACCTGTAGGCATCTTCTGGTATCCCCTCAAGCACAGCAAAGTGGAGGGCCGGCCACCTGAATGTTTCCAGCCCAGTGCTGCCACACTGCTGCTTTCAGAGCCTAACGAAGGCCATTTAGGTGACTTAGTGCCTGCCAACAACTGAGTGAAATACTTTGAGCCCAGACTCCAAAGGGCTCTGAAGCCTTTGGTTCTGTTATACTTTTTGTTGTATAGAGTTTGAAAAAATGTGAATGGGAAGAACTTTATTAAAGATGATTTTAACAGAAATGTGGTTTTGGTGTAGGTGATTATCTGAACAAATGTTGAGTCTGTGCTGTAATTTAATTTCAACCTGTTAAATAGTGAACCTTGTCACACCAGGTAAACATATTTCAGAAACTAGGTAGGTGCCTGTCCATTTACCTAAATGCCATTGATCATATTCCTATGGTACTAACTAAAGTTGATGAGAATGACCCCAAATTTGGCAATCACTTCTATCCAAAATGGAGGAAGAGAACAAGAGAAGTATTTTATTTTACCTTAATCTCTCCTAAACCCACCAATATCTTTTTGAAACCCTTGTATTTGCTGTGCCTACTTTGTGAACAATCACAGAAATAATAATGAAAATTGTGATGTTCTTTAGCAATGCCTAAATGAGAAATTTTTTTCCTCTTCATAGTAAAAGTGCCATTTTCAGCATTTTAAAAATTCAAGTATTTCATTGCACAAAAACTCTTACATTCCTTTTTTAAAACACAGGCATGCAGACCTCTGGAAGGCGTGCCTTCTTAATGCTAAGTGAGATTTTCTTCCTAAGAAGGTCACTACCTAATAGAGATAATGTGTGGAAATAACACTCTAAATAATAGGCTGTCTAGCACATATGTCCTGTCAAGTGTAGGTTGATGAAGAAATATCAAAAAACAACATTAAAAATTTGCTTTAAATGACTTGGAGAGTCAAGAATATGCTTTAGGATCTAAAATCAATGTATGACAGGATGATGGGATGAGCCAGCCTGTAACTACCCTACACGTCTGCCTCCTCCCCAAATCTTCAGGCTCCAGCGGTCAGTGGGTTTGAGCCTTCCCCAGCAGCACCCTCTGCCCCTGTACAGATACCTGCAAAACTAATTGCCCACACTGCCCAGACAGTCAGCTGGCATTTTCTTAGGGGAAGGAAGTGGCAGGCTACAGGGTCCTTCGCTTCCCTGCCACCCAGCAATCTTTCAGCAGCCACTCCTTCCTCAACACTACAAGGGATTGTTGAGCCTGAGAATTCAAGGTAGGTGATGAGAATGTGAGGTCAAAAAGAGCTCCACACTTCAGGGAGGGTTTCCTTCTAAACTCCCAGTCTGGGTTCAGCGCCTGTACCTCAGTGGTTAGAGCACCAGCCACATACACTGGAGCTGGTGGCTCGAACCTGGCCTGGCCCAGCTAAACAATGACAACAACAAAAAAATACCCAGGGATTGTGGTGGGCGCCTGTAGTCCCAGCTACTTGGGAGGCTGAGGCAAGAGAATCGATTAAGCCCAAGAGTTTGAGGTTGCTGTGAGACATGGCAATCTACCGAGGGCAACATAGTGAGACTCTGTCTCAAAAAACTAAATAAACTCTCAGTCTGCAAAACCATTAAAGTTGAGTTGGTTCAAAGAGCCGAGAGGATATTAGTGTGTAGTGCCTTAAACTTAAGGGGACAACTTTGAGAAAGAGAAGCTACTTTTGACTTGTGTAAATTTAGCAAGGAAAGACTAGGCAAAATGTTACTTATAATTTCCATTTTATTTATTGTACAGATTCAAATAATACAAACATACTCTTTCTGCTAAGGTAGACTTACTGTTATATGGTAAGTTTTCATACTGTAATCCCTGCTGAAGAGCAGCTTAGGCTTCCACAGGGCAGGAAACCTGCTCCTGGTCACAGCTGACACCACAGCGGGCAGGTCACAGGGCATGCTGTGCAGCCCAATCCCCCAGAGAAAGTCACAAAGGTTTGCATTTGGACATTTTAAACGCACAATTAAACAATAAATGCACAAGGGCTGGTGCATATACTTTAGTTACAGTGACACTATCACACATGGTCACAACTGTGCAAAAATACTGTTTTCAAATCACTAAATTAAAAAAAGAACTTATACAAGCTATAAAAATGTTGCCACAAAAAGCAAAGCTTTCCTATAAGAAAGTCTAACTACTTGGACAATGAGCCAACCCCCAATTTACTAAAGTAAAAGAGCTGTGCCATAATCATTATATTCTATTCATAAATAATCTCTTTAAATCTTGAAGACCTAACTCATAAGCATCTGGAAATATGGCACCATCCTATATCCAGGGGACACAGAAAGGAATTAAGTTTGTACTCTGTTGTCTGAGCCTTTCTCTCATTCTCCTTTTATCTTCTGGCAGGTCTATTCTAGTCATTACAATTACTTTTATTCTTTTCATGTGAAATATTAAAGATAAAAATTAAATCTTAACCCAGGCCCCAGTCCCAATGTTTATTTCAATGCAAAGAAGCAATTCTCTAATTTCACAAAACGTTACACACCCTGTACTTAAAAACCAGACCTCTTTAGACAGGCGTCTGTTAGAGGATCAGAATAAAAAGGTCAACAAAAAGAACTGCCCTAAAAGAAATGACTTGTTTTTTTGTAGGAGATGCCAAGAGCAGGACAGCCTCTGGGTGAGATGTTCTGCAGCTTTGGGGCAGACCCTCGGGCAACTCATCCGCAGGTGTTAAAGCTTAAACACCCTTTGGAGTCTGGGGGAGGGGGAAGGGGTGAGCTGAGCCCGTGGCAATCCTTAAGCACCGGGTCATTGTCTAATACTCCCCTCACCTGTCAACTACCCTCTCAATAAATAGCTACTGAGGAGGTTGCTCAAGGCTACTCTGCATTTATGGTTAGCCCACCTCTCGCAAGCTTGTACTTCTATCCGTTTCACACCTGTTTCCTTCATGGGAGGACAGACAGGACCCTAGGGGTCACAACAGTTTTTACTTTAAGTGGTCAGACTAGAAGATTCTTTGTTAAACTGGTAATGACACAAGCACAACACCCTGTTCCAATGCTCTCCTCATGGACACACTTAAAACAGAGGGCCCCAGCTGCACCCCACTGCCTATAGAACATATTAGGTATAGAGACAAGAAGCCACTTTTCTCTGATCATTTTTTCATAAGAGATTCTAAGAGGGAGTGAAGACGCACCAGCTGGGCACCACTGTAGATCTGATCTCCAGTGGCAGCAGCTTTCATTCAAGCATCCCAGAACTTGGAAGAAAGGGAAGAAGAAATCCTCGTCAGATTCTAGGTCCTATGGCCAGAGCAACCTCATCTCCTGGCCCATTCCCTCTACCCCAATGGACAGACACTCTTCACACCTCGGAGCTTTCAGATTTACTAGCCTGCCTCACACAAATCACCATCACAACTATGACCACATGTCCTCAGGGCCATTTGATGTGGAACCTCTATAATCTGGCCTTAGCTGGCTCTTTCAGCTTCAACTTCTGGTACTTTCTCTTTCATTCTAGATTGACCTACTCCCCACTCCTAAAGTGCCCCTTGCTCAGCCTGTGGCCAGGGCACACCCAATCTACTTCTGCCCAACAAAATCCTACCAATCCCAATCAAAGAACCATCCAAAAATGAAAATGCCACTCCAGTACTACTTACCAACATAGTATGGAAAGTTTCATTATCTGTTATTAATGACAGCAGCACAATTTAGAAAGAACCACAGGTTATGATGGGTAATAAACACATATCATTTGTATCTCCTTTGAGATGAGTCTCCCATTGTTGCCCAGGTTAAACTCCTGGGCTCAAATGATCCTCCCATAAGCCTGAGTAACTGGGACTAGAGAGAGGTACATGCCACTGCATCCTGCTTTCAACAAATGCATGTTGAATACAAATCATATAAATATGAACAGGAGAGATTCAGGAAATGACTATGCCACAAGCACTACATGGGCATATAAAATAAAAGGTAGGATCAAATTCACAAACAAGGGGGTGTCAGTATATTATGTAAACTGAAATAAACAGGACAAAGTTCAAACACACAAGCTAAGAGGAAGATCAAGTCTCCTCAGAAGCAGTTAAGGGTTCCTGCCCAACTGGTCAAAAACCAAACTCCTGTACTATATTTACCCCACCTAACACATCAAGTTCAATAAATCAGTAAATTAGTTACATACATTCTCAAGCTTGACTTAGATAATCTATCCATCCCTGATCAAAATTTACATGGCCATGGCACAGAAGACACCACCTCAATATGAGAGAGTGCAAGAAAATAAAGACCAGGGTGTGCCAATTAAAACATTCATATGCAAATATAAAGAAAGGGATTTCTACTCCAACTATACGTGGAAACTATCTCCAGGGAAAGGGGAAATTCCATTTCTAAAAGATCTTATGATTTGTGTGTGCACTTATGTGTCAGTCAACTCCACCACTGACATTCACCCACACACGGAGCCCGTGCTTCCAAAAAGCCCCTTTCCTCTCAGCATGAGAGCCGCGACAGACTCTGGCTACTCAAAACTTTTGCCATGCACATACACGTACATGTTTGCAAACAGAACATCATAGAAGCAAAGAAACTTTTCAGTAGTACCACGGAAATAATCACAGGACAACAAAACTATAAACATCTCTAATGAAGTCATAAATTCATTCCTACTAACTGTCCTAAAAGTTAAACACCTTTAAAGAATAAATACATCCAGAAGCTAATGGACAGAGAAAACTGCAAAATGTCTATTAGAACTGGGTTGGTATTTCAGTCCAAGGAAAAGGACATAAAAATGTGGCAACATTAAACATGGTCTCTGAAAATACCATAATAGTAGGGTTGCAATTCTGAAGTAATGCTCAGGAAACACTGGGGGGGTTCTGATGAGCAGGAGACAGCCTGTCATAACCACAGACAGGGGCCTCCTCCTCTGTCTCACAGCAGCACACACGCAGGGAGCTTAAACAATACACAGGCCATTTGGCTCATATGCAACAAAATTAAGCCATTAAATGTGTATCTCATAAAGATCACTTAGCCCTAAGACAAAACTAAAGAGGGTTAACCACATGCCACAAAGACAGATGTTTCACTTCAGGTCTCCATCTCCTTCTCCATCCCCCTGAATGGACTTTTTGATGCGGAGCAGCATGGTGGTCAGCCACTGGTCCAAGCGAGATATTGAGTCAAATTCCTTCACCTAGTGTAAGGAAAGAGGAACAGGAATTATTACACAGAAATAAATCCAAAACACAAAACAACAGTATCTCAAGCTGCATTTCTAGTAAAAATCCACCAACTTTCCCATTAGAAATTATTCATTCCAGTTTATAACTTGCTTTATTAAAAACTGTTTATTTTTTCATTATCCTGTTAATATTTTGATGGCACTAAGGGCATGTTCCTGGGATACTGTATGTGAAGATGTGTATGAAAAATTCATAACATTCATGAAAACAGAAAGGGCATTATTATCGTATTAGACAGAGGAAAATGGATACTGTATAATAATTACAAAGGAATGTGGAAAATATTCATTGGACATGAAAAAACACAGATGCAGAGTTAGAAGCAGAATTCCTTTAACACATTTCAATGCATTACCAAAGAATAAATTGACAATAGGATGAAAATGACTTTGCAAAAAATTTAAACAGGAAAACATTCTTTTCCATTATCACTTCAGAGCCATGATGAACATGCAAATGGAGGATATTAAAAAATCTGCTTGAATCTAAACATATGATGGCAAAAGATGGGAAAACAAAAGCCAAAAAAAAAAAAAAAAAGATGAGTATGAAGAAAAAATTTCAGTTATTTTATGCTACAAATATAACAAACTGTCACTACTTTGTTTCTATATTTAAAATTGTATTTTAACTAATTTTACTTTACATTTATTAATAGATCAGATTGTATATGTTCCTTTTTTTTTTTTTGCTCTGTTGCACAGGCTACAGTGCATGATGTGACCACAGCTCACTGCAGCCTTGAACTCCTGGCCTTAAGACATCCTCTTGCTTCATCCTCCTAAGCAGCTGGGACTATAAGTCACACCACCATGCCCAGCTTGGATCAGATTAATTTCAAAAGACATGTTAAAACAACACATCATAACAGTGATATCTGCTCTTGAACTAGTCTGAAAGCTAAATTAGTTTTGAGTATAAATCAGGAAACAGCACCAACTGCAAATGGAATTTCTGCCTGGTAATGGCTAATGGAACAGTCCCATTTGTGGGAGATACAATATGACCTTTGGAAAATACAATATAGGTATGCTGAACTACATTCAAATAAATGTTTAGATTTTACACAATGAGAAGGAAAACAAGTTTCTACAACTTAAGTCTTCAAGAATATGATATATCCCAAAGCAGAACTTACTGCTTCAGTGTAAGCTTCACTGTTCTGTTCTTCATGAGCTTCTAGAAGTTTCTGGTAGCATAAAAATATGGAAAAAACAGTTTGGTAAGACAAAAAAGTCCTATTTCTGAACATGGAAACAGCCTTTGTATGGTATTAACTCATATTGCCAAATACCTCACCCACTTGGAGAAATATTCAAACACGAGTCAAGATCCAAGTTAAAAAAAAAAAGATCTAGTTTTTAACTATTAGTATTAATATTTCCCAACTGCCTATTCCAGAGAACAGTACTATGTTCTTGACACTAATGGCATTAGAATACCTACAGCACAACACAGGAAAAGAACCGGGTCTCCCAGTTAGCAGACTTCACAGACTAAAACTTCATGTTAAACCAAACCACTTAGGTACTGTCATCTGATAGAGAAAAACTACCTTTTTTCAAAGTTTTAATATTACTTACTTTCAATAATTTACATTCTCTTGAATCAGTAAATGCTGGAAACATTTCCTCATATTTCTCAAGAGCAAGCTGAGAAAGAAAAACCATTCATCAAGGTCAGACTTACTCAACTAGGAAACAAAGCTTTTAACATTATATTAACTTAAAGAACTACTTAAGTGTTTAAGAAGTAAACTGTTAAATCAACAACAGAATCAACCTATTGATTTTGAACTTTCAGTTTCAATTAAGAATTACTTCCAAACCAATTTTCCTAAGTTAGGGTGCTGTAGAGAGTCAATATGAAAGGAAGTTAATTCTAAAAATTCACAGACCAGGTGTCTGTGTTCGTCATTAAATGGAAAAGCTCTTCCTTAACACTGTCCAGACTTCAAACAAATTACATTTAGATTCCCACTCAAGACTGGGGGAAAGAATATTTTGTTCTTCTGAGTCTAGACACTGATGCCCACCCACCTTGGCCTCTGTCTCCCAGCTCACTCACACTTCTTCCCAGGCCCTGCTCCCACTCCATTTCTGAGTAGTTTTTCTTTTCTAGTTCCCCAATTTTTTCTTTCTTTTTGAGATAGGGTTGTCAGCCAGGCTGAAATGTGGTGGCACCATCACAGCTCACTGCAACCTTGAACTAACTCTTGGACTAAGAGATCCTCCCATCTGGCTTCCCAAAGTACTGGGATTATAGGCATAAGCCACCATGCCCAGCCCCCTAATTTCTTTAAAGCAAAACTACTAATGAAAATGTGCCCTTCAGAAAACTTACAGCTTTGGCTATTGAAAGATTATAGCAGGAATATCTTCAGAATTATTATTCCTTTGAATGAACTCAGTTTAGTCTTGCTACTAACAGCCAGACAAAATGGAATCAAGAACAGCAGAAGGCCGGGTGTGGTGGCTCATGTCTAATCCTAGCAACTTGGGAAGCCGAAGTGGGTGGAATGCCTGAGCTCAGGAATCTGAGACCACCCTGAGCAAAGCAAAACTACAGTTCTTAAAAAAAAAAAAAGGTGGGTGTTGTGGCAAGCGCCTGTAATCCCAGTTACTCTGGAGGCTGAGGCACGAGGATTGCTTAAGCCCAAGAGTTTGAGGTTGCTGTGAACTATGATGCCATGGCACTCTACCCAGGGTGACTGAGTGAGACTATCTCAAAAAAAGAAAAAAACCCAGAAGAGGATGTGAAGGTAGGGGCTGTTTCCAGGGGACTCCTTACCTTGGCATTCAACTCGTCCACTATGAAGTGACAGAGGGCTGCTTTGAAGAAGTAATCCTTTGCACTGTACTTCAACAAAGGATTATCCATTGTGTTTGCCCCAACCTAGGCACAGAAAACGGTTAATTTTAAAGATTTGCCTTTTTATATTAGGCAAAATAATTCTCCTCTGTTGCCCTTTAGAAAATACTTTAGTATCTTATGTTAGTTGAGCTGTGAAATATAGTAGAACCTCAGTAAGTTGGCCACCCAAGCAACTGTAACAGAGGCAGTCAACATAAGGAACTAGGCCTACTGTATTGACAGGTACATGTGGTGCATGTCCAGTCTATGAAAATAAGGTTGATTTAAGGAGATGGTCAATGTGGGAAGATGGTCAATTATAGAGGTTCTACTGTATATTCTTTTAACTCAATACCACACAGTAGAAAATCTTTAAGAGCCTCACTTTATCACCCTCAGTAGAGTGCCATGACATCACAGCTTGCAGCATCCTCCAACTCCTAGGCTTAGGCAATTCTCTTGCCTCAGCCTCCCGAGTAGCTAGGACTATAGGCACACGCCATAACGCCCAGCTAATTTTTTTTTTGTTGTTGCAGTTTGGCTAGGACCGGGTTCAAACCCGCCACCCTTGGTATATGGGGCCAGCACCTTGCCCACTGAGCCACAGGTACTGCCCAGCAGAAAATCTTAGTACACAAGAATATTAAATACAACAAGTGCTAACCTTGAAAAAACAAGTTGGAAGATTTTGCCTCCAGGAAGATAAAGGAGAGACATCTCTTCCCCTATTCCCTCCCACTAAGCACAACTGAGGTCCAGCTCACTTTACATAAAACAAACATTCATAAATGATGGACCCAAGAGGGCAGAGTCGTGAGGACTTTAAGACCCAGGGCAAAATCTAAGGGTAGGTTCTCCTGGGTTCTCCTTTTCCTTCCTATATCCATGGCACAGAACTGAAAAAACCACTGACCCAGAAATGTCAATAGGTGCAGACCAAAAAAGAGAACTGATACTGCCTGCTCTCTAGCCAAAGGAGCAGGGCAGGGGAAGTCTGTCAAGAGACAATGTTTAGACAGTACCTCTCCACTCCATCCAAACACCACAGAAAAGGCCCACTCCTGCAAATATCACCAAGGCTGAAGACGGAGACATGGGTGCCCATTCTTGCAGGCCTGTAAGGAAGAGTCCAACACCCCTGCCAAGGGGGCCTCAGGGAAAGCCAAACAGGGAGCTGAAGCTCCGTCCTACCCTCCACCCATCACTGAAGCAGTACAGACACACAGGGAGCCTGGGCCCCACCTGCACCCAGCAAGAACAAGACACCCCTCCCAGCTGGAGGTGTCAGATGAGGTCTGGTGGAGGGTGAAAGGTGAAGACTTTTCAGCATCACCAGATGAAATCAAGAGCCCCTGCATGGTGTTGGTGGAGACCAGGTAGGGAGTGAGATGTGTCTGCCTCTGCCCACAGGTAACTAGGCCACCGCAGGTGTCAATGGAGGCCTAGTGATGGGCTTGAACTTCCACCTGGCCATAATGAAAAAACACCCTAACTTTTCCCAACAAGATGAGTGTCAAAGGAGGACAGCCAAAAGAAAAGGTTTAAATGGTTCTCCTAACCTAGTGAGAAAATGCCTTGTTTTCAATAAAAAGCACTAATAATAGGAAAAACACAGGAAGATCTCAAGCTGCATGAAGACAGACAAGTAAGAGGTAACAATGCCCAGATGACAGAAATGTCAAAATTATCTACTGGAACTTTCAAAGGAGCTCTCATAAGAATGCTTCAATAAGAAATTAAACAGTTTGGTGAAAATATTTCAAATTGTATATAAAACCAGCACACTGTTCCCCATGACTGCATTAATGTACACAGCTATGATTTAATTTTAAAAAATTGCAAAAAAAAAAAAAAATTACAAAAGCACTTGAAGCTAATGAGAAAAGTGGAAGCAGCCCAAATGCCCATCAACCCATGAATGGATCAACAAATTGAGTATATGTATACCATGGAATACTATTTAGAAATAAAGAGATGAGACCTTACATCTTTTATGTTTACCTGGATGGAGTTAAAATACATTCTTCTTAGTGAAGTATCTCAGAATGGAAAAACAAGTAATCAATATACTCAATACAAATACGAAACCAATCTATAAACAATTACATGCTCATATGAACAATAAAACACAAATATAGTCTAGTATGGGAGCAGGGGGAGAAAAGAAAAGGGGAGGGGAAGACAATTGGCAGAAGAAGAGAGGGCATTGGGCGGGATCTCACCTAATAGGCACAATGGGTGGGTGGATATCACGCCCCCTAGGTGAGGCGTTCTTTTACAACTGGAACTTTACCTTGAAAGTGAGAACAATGTAATCTAAAAATTTGCACCCTCACATTAATTGGAAATAAAAAAATAATAATTAAAAAACTCAAAGCATCAATGAAGAAAACGCCACTAGGAAAAAAACTAAAAGATATAAAGAAAAATGAGAATTTCAGAACTGAAAAACATGATGACATACATCAAAAGTAGGTGAGCTCCAAGGCAGAATGGATAGGGACTGAATGACAGAAATCAATCTGAACAAAAGAGATCAGACTGGCTTAAAAATGAACACACCATCCTGGAACTATAAAACAAGGCCTGCCTTTTGTGTTCTTTGAGTTCTAGAAGAGGAGAAGAAAGAGAAAGAGGTTGAAAAAGCATTTGATGAATAAACTGCTAAGGAATTCTCAAAATTTTTTGTTTGTTTGTTTTTGTTTTTTGAGACAAAGCCTCAAACTGTCCCCCTGGGTAGAGTGCTGTAGCATCATATCTCACAGCAGCAGTAGCATCACAGCTCACAGCAGCCTCCAATTGCTAGGCTCAAGCGAGTCTCCTGCCTCCGCCTCCCAAGTAGCTGGGACTATAGGTGCCCGCCACAACACCTGGCTATTTTTTTTGGTTGAAGCCATTATTGTTGTTTGGTGGGCCCAGGCCGGATTCGAACCTGCCACCTTAGGTGTATGTGGCTGGCACCTTAGCCACTTGAGCCACAGGTGCCGAGCCAGGAATTCTCAAATTTATACCTAACAAATGCAATCAGTGTAACCTGGTTTCTTGTACTCTTAATGAATCCCAAATTTAAAAAAAAAAAAAAGAATTATCAAATCTGTCAAGAAATACAAACCTACAGATTCTAGAAATTTAGTGAAACCCAAACAGCATAAAATCAAATACAGCAGAACCTCTGAAGCTGACCACCCTCCCTACACTGGCCACCTCCTTAAGTTGGCCTAATTTTCACAGATCAGACATGCCTAGTTCCTTATGTTGACCACGTCTGTATGTTGGCCATTTTATTACAGTCCCTTGTGTGGTCAACTTACTGAGGTTCTATTGTACATACACCCAAGATACATTACCATTACACTTACCAAAACTGAAGACAAAGACAAAACTTATGAAAGTGGTCAGAGAACAATACTTTACCCACAAGAGAAAAAACAACCTGAATGACAAGAAACTTCTCATCAGAACTTATAGAGGCCATAAATTGTGCTTTTTTTTTTAATTGAAGGAAAATAACTATCAATTTAGAATTGCATACCCCAGAAAATATGCTTCAGCAATGAAGAAGAAATCACAACATTTGCAGATGAGGGAAAATTAAGAGAATCTGCTACCCTAAAAATACTGGCAAATGATTTTCTCTAACTTGGAAGATCAGACAGGAAGAAAGAACATGGTAAGCAAAAATATGGGTAAATACAATAAGCTTTCCTTCTGATCTTGAGTTTTTAAAATTATGTTTGATAGCTGAAACAAAAATTCTGACTATTGTGGCTTTGCATGTATACAGAGGAAACATTTAAAATAATCATGTAGAGGGTGACTCCTATGGCTCAGTGACTAGGGCACCAGCCTCGTATACCAAGGATGGTGGATTCAAACCCGGCCCCAGCCAAACTGCAACAACAACAACAACAAAAATATAGCCAGGTGTTTTGGCAGGCGACTCTAGTCCCAGCTACTAGGGAGGCTGAGGCAAAAGAATCACCTAAGCCCAAGAGCTGGAGGTTGCTGCAAGCTGTGATGCCACAGCTCTCTACTGAGGGTGGCAAAGTGAGCCTCTGTCTCTTAAAAAAAAAAAAGATAATTATGTATTGACTGAGAAGAATAAAGGGTTAGGGCTAGTACACTTGGATGTGAGGGAGGTACAGGAACTAGTTCCCCATGGATACTGAGAAACAAAGGTACTCAACCAAAACTACAGAAAATTGAGTGACCCAAAAAAAAGTGTGAAAAAGAAAACAGAAATAAGAAACAAAAAAAAAGATAGAAAGAAGTAAAATGTTTGGAAAGACGTCTGGAGAACACTTAGAGAACCAAAAATTTTTTGTTCTGTTTTGTTTTGGTTTTTTGAGACAGAGCCTCAAGCTGTCCCCCTGGGTAGAGTGCTATGGCATCACAGCTCACAGCATCCTCCAATTCCTGGGCTCAAGCGAGTCTCCTGCCTCAGCTTCCCAAGTAGCTGGGACCACAGGCGCCCACCACAATGCCCAGCTGATTTTTGGTTGCAGCCGTCATTTTTGTTTGGCAGGCCCGGGCTGGATTCGAACCCGCCACCTTAGCTGTATGTGGCTGGTGCCTTAGCCACCTGAGCCACAGGCGCTGAGCCAAGAACTAAAAATTGACCTGCCATTCGATCCTATAATTCCTTTATTAGGTACATACCCAGAAGATCAAAAATCACATTATAATAAAGATATTTGTATCAATGTTTATTGCAGCCCAATTCATAATTGCCAGGTCATGGAAGAAGCCCAA